ACCGATGTTACCTGTGGTCAGTGTTGGCATTTTGTGTTTCCAGATTCTTGGCCATTTATGCACAGAATTGAAATCAAGACCCACACTGATGTGCTAAAGTAGCAAGGGAATTTTATTTAAACCAAGTATTAGAAAAATTTAGCATATGCTGCAAGGGAGCATCCTGCCACATGAATGAAAATATTCAAGGCCTCAAGTTGCTGCCTGGATTCCCTCTTTGTGAGGTATAAGGAAGGATGGGCTGATTGCTAAGGGTGTAGTTTGGATGGTTCTCTTTTTTGATTGATAGTCATACAATAATTTTTCCATTGTGCATATTCTTTCCCATATGTAACTAATTGTAGTCATATACCATGGGAATAAAGTGTACTTAGAGTGTAATTCCTAAAAGGATGCAATTTTGATGTGCCCCTAACCAGCCCTGGCTGCATCTGACCTCCAGTCCTCAGACTAGAATGTGTTGAGAATACTTTTGAATAGAAATCTTTCAAGTTTGATTGTTCTTAGAGGTATCTTCATGTGCGGGTGGGGCTCTGAGGTTGCTAGTTGCATTGACTGGAAAAGAGTGTTTGCATAGTTAAGTACATTATGAGAAGAGGAGTATGTACATACCACAAACCAAATGGAATCCCTAAAGTCACTAAACCAGTCCTTATGATTTCATAATGGAGGCTTGGGAAAATAATTGATTTGAGTTTTATTCTGTTTTGACATTATGTATCCTGTACTCTTTGTACTTAAAACAATGGCTGGTTATTGATGTGATTTTTTTTTTTTTTTTTTTTTCCTACTGGTGCTTCAGTAGGAAAAAATCCCAAATCCAGTCCCAAATCCAAGTCTTACTGCATGATTGCCAATACTAAGGTATAAAAGTGCCATTTGTGATGGTGTACTCCTAGCACTTAGGAAGAGGCAAGAAAATCTCAAATTCAGGCTGACTGGGATACATAGTGAAGTTGAGTTCAGCCTGCACTGCATAGCAAAAACTATCTCAGAAAAATGAAAACAAAATTAGTATACACATAAAACCACTACTACAGTTTCACAGGAGTGGATGCATTGTCATAAGAGTGCATTTAAATGGTATGCATGATATAATACTCCCTTGTATTAAGTATACGCATTTTCTGTATTCATTCTTTTGTTGAGGGACGTCTAGGTCATGTCCAGTTTTTGCCTATTATGAGTAGAGTAGCAATGAGCATAATCAAGCAAGTGTTCTTGTGGTAGGATGGAACGGCCTTTGGGTATATACCCCAAAGTAGTATGGTGGATCTTGAGGTAGATCATCTCCCAACTTTTTGAAGAACCACCTTATTGATTTCCACAGCAGCTGTACAAGTATGCACTCCCACTAGCAATGGAGGAGTGTTCCTCTTACTTTACATCCTCTGCAACATTCTCTTGTGTTACTTATCTTAGTCCTTCTCACAGACGTTAAGTAGTTTTGAGTTGCATTTCTCTGATGGCTAACAATGCTGAACATTTCTTTTTAAGTGTTTCCTCAGCCATTTGGGAGTGATCTATTGAGAACTCTTTGTGTATCTGTTCCCCATTTTTAGATTGGATTATTTGTTTTGTGATATCTAGTTTCTTGAGTTCTTTATATATTTTGGATATTGGTGCTCTCTTAGCTGTGGAGTTGATAAAATCTTTTCCATTCTGTAGGTTGCCATTTTGTCCTATTTAATGGTGTCCCTTGCCTTGCAGAATCTTAGTTTTCATGAGGTCCTGTTTATTAATTGTTGGTTTTACTGCCTGTGCTAATGTGGTTCTGTTCAGAAATGTATTTCCTGTACCAATGGTCTTTTGATCTTGATTTAAACGTTGGTAAGTGGTATGTATTGAAAGGATGGTTTATTTCCCAGTTTGATTGAATACAGGTTTGTAAGGTATGTCCTTTTGATTCTCTAGATTTCCTTGGTGTCTGTTGTTAATAATCCCCTTTTGTTTCTAATTTTATCAGTTTGTGTAAGTTTGTCAGTCTTACTGCTTTTCTCAAAGAACCAATTCTTTGTTTCTTTCTTTGTGTTTTTCACTTTGTTTCTTTCTACTATGTTGGTTTCAGCCCAGAATTTGAGAATCTTTTGGAGTCTTCTCCTTTTCAGTGTGATTTCTTTGGTTCTAGAGCTTTTAGGTATGCTGTTAAGTTGCTAGTATGATGTCTTTCCACTTTTTTTTAATGTAGGCATTTAGTGCTATGGACTTGCCTGTTAGAACCACTTATACTGTGTCCCAAAAGTTTGGGTGTGTTGTATATTCATTTTCATTCAATTCTAGAAAGTCTTTGTTTTGACCCATTTTTCCTTCAGTGGAGAGTTGTTCAGTTTCCATGAGTTTGTAGACTGTCCGTTTTTACTGTTGAAATTCAGCTTTACTCCATGGTGGTCTGATAGGATGCAGGGGGTTATTTCAGTTTTCTTGTATCTGTTGAGACTTGCTTGTATATGAGCATGTGGTCAATTTTGGAGTAAGCTCCATGAGGTGTGGAAAAGAAGGTAAGTTCTTTTGATTTGGGTGAAATGGTCTGTAGATGTTAGGTTCATTTGGTTTAGAAAGTCTGTTAGCTCCAGTATTTCTCTGCTTTAGTTTTTGGGATGACCTGTCCATTGGTGAGAGTGGGGTGTTAAAGTCTCTCACTATCAGTGTGTGTGCATCAATATATGATTTGAGCTATAATAGTATTCCTTTACAAACATGGGTGCCCTTGTGTTTGGGGCATAGATGTTAAGAATTCATATGTCATCTTGGTGGATTTTTCCTTTGAGTATTCTTTAGGTTGGGTTTTCCTTCTAGCACCTTCTGTAGTATTCTTCCCTCTCTTTTGATTAGTTTTGGTTTGTAGTCTGTTTTATTAGATATTAAAATGACTCTTAGGACCATTTTCTTGTTTATCTTTTTCCACCCTTTACCCTGAGGTAATGCCTATCCTTGATGTTCAGATGTGTTTCTTGGGTGCAGCAGAAGATTGTGTCCGTTTTTTTTTTTTTTTTTTTTTTTTTTTTTTTTTCCATTATGTTAGCCTGTGCCTTTTTATTGGGGGAATTCAGTCCATTGATATTGAGAGAGATTTATGACAAATGATTGTTGTTCATTCTTGTTATTTTCTTGTTTTTGTTTTTGATGGTGGTGGTGGAGAGAGATAGATGAGAGAGTTTCTTTTTTGATTTTGCTGTTCTGAGATGGTTGTAGTTAACCTCCTTAGATTGGAGTTTTCCTTCTAGTACCTTCTGTAGTGTTGGATTTGTTGATAAATAAATACTGCTTAAATTCAGCCTTCTCATGGAATATCTTATTTTCTCTACCTATGGTAATTGAAAGTTTTGCTTTGCATAGTAGTCTGGACTGGCATCTGTGCTTTCTTAAGAGTCTGAAGCATATCAGTCTAGGCCCTCTGGCTTTTAGAGTCTCCATTGAAGAGTCAGGTGTAATTCTGATAGGTTTATTTGTTGGTCTTTTTCTCATGCAGTATTTAAATATTCTTTGTTCTGTATGTTTAGTGTTTTGATGATTATGCTGAGGGAACTTTCTTTTTTGGCCCATCCTATTTGGTGGTGTTTCATATGCTTGTGCCTTTATAGACTTCTCTAGGTTAGGAAAAAGTTTCTTCTATGGTTTTGTTGAAAATATTTTCTGAGCCTTTTAGCTGGGTTTCTTCTCCTTCCTCTTCCTATTTTTCTTAGATTTGGTCTTTTCATGGTGTCCAGATTTCCTAGATCTTTTGTGCTAGAAGTTTTTTAGATTTAACATATGTTTTGACCATTGTATCCATTTTTATTCTCTCACACCTTTAATGCCTGAGATTCTCTGTTCCGTCTCTTTTATTCTGTTGGTGAAGCTTGCTTCTGCAATTTCTGCTTGAACTCCTAAATTTTTTATTTCCCAAATTCCCTCTGTTTGTTTTCTTTATTCTATATCCATTTTCAGATCTTAAACATTTTATTTCTTTCTACTGTTTATTTTTGTTTTCCTGGATTTCTTTAAGGGATTTATTCATTTCTTTAAGAACCTCTATCCTAGTCACATTGGCTGCTTTGAGCTCATTTTGGGGACTTCAGCTATGTTGGAATATTCAGGGTCTGTCGTGATAGGGTTGGTGAAGACATATTTTCCTGGTTGTTTCTGTGTTTTTACCCTGTCATCTAGGCATCTGGTATTGGAATCATTATAGGTCTAGATGCTGATAATCTGGTTTTGTCTTTGTTGGGTGGGTGCTTTCTTCCCTTGGTTTCTGTTTCCTCTCTGGATTTTAGGAAAGTGTGATAGCTTTGTGTTGCCTGGAAATTTCCTGTGAACCTGTTTCCTTGGCCCGCCCGCACTGTTGGTGTGTTCCCAGGAAATGCTTGTTGGCGTTGGGGGCTGGATCATTAGGGGAGATCTACATGATCTGATAGGAATGAGGTCAGAGGAAAGTGAGATTGAAGCAGGTGTGCTACAGAGCTGAAGATGGGACTGGGAAGGGATCTGGAGGAGCAGAAGGAAGATGTGAAGACAGCTTTCCTGGCAGGAGTGGACTTTGGGTTAGCAGGAGTTGCCTGCTGGGGTAAAGTAGGGGTGGGGTTGAGAGGGGAAGATTTTAGAGAGGGTTAGAAGGGGAATATTTGTGGGTTCTATCAGAGGTGGTTGCAGGGGAGCCAGGAAGGCTGCTTTTGAAAGTGTTTTTTTGTAGAGCTGGGTGTGAGCCTGGGGGCTTGGGTCTTGAGGAACATACTAAGAGGAAAAGATCTATCTTAAAGACATTTTTAGGGGAAATATCTTATTTTCAGCGAAGTTTTAGAGTATTTTTTATATTGACTAACAATTTTGGAGTGTCTTTTTCATTAAAAGAACTTGCTATTTTTAGTTGGGAAAATTTTTAAATGTACAGTTATTTAATATACAAACTGAAGTTTGATTTTATATTATAGTAATTAAAAATTACTGTCTATAGTAAAAATTTCTGATTTCAAAAGTTGAAAGCATGATGCTTCATAGCTGTTGTTTCAGCACTTGGGGGTTGGGAGCGGGAAATCATGGTATTGAGGGCAGTCTGAGAACATGAAGTGTTAGAAGCCAGCCTTGGCTACATATACATAGCAAGACTTTGGTGATGTCTCACCAATGTTTTAAATGGGTAGTCAAAGTTGGTAAGTAGTGAGCAGAGTAAAAGATTTAAAAAAAATTATTTGCTCTCTCCCCTTCCTTTCATGCCCTTTTTTTTTCTTGTTGTTTGCTTGCTTGTTTGTTTTGGTGTTTTTGAGACAGTGTTTCCTCTGTGTAATAGCTCTAGCTGTCCTGGAACTTTCTCTGTAGACCAGGCTGGCCTCGAACTCACAGAGATCTGACTGCCTCTGCCTCCTAAGTGCTGGGATTAAAGGTGTGTGTTGCCATGCCCAACTCATGTCCTTTTGTGTATAAGACCTACTACATTTAGACTTGCTTGCATGAGCTTGGATAGAGGATTCCTGTACCCCAGGGGCATTAACTTCCTTTGAGAGTTATGGGGTCTTAAGAATGGTCCCTTCCCCATCCACGATATAATGCCCTGGGCCTAAGTCTTGTGCAGATTTTGTTTAGATAGCCACGGCTTCTGGGAGTTGCTGGGTATAATAGCTGTACCATGTTCAGAAGATAGGTTTTTCCCAGTACTGTCTGTACTCTGGCTGTCAGACTCTGCATTCTCTGTTCTTGGTGTTTCTTGAGCCTTAGAGAGAGTGATACAGCTATCCCATTTAAAGCTAAACATTTGTCACTTCTTAGCATTTGGACCAGTTATGAATTCCCTGCATCAGCTGCCACCTGCTGCAAACAAGCTTCTCTGACCAGTGCTGAAGCATCATTAATTTATGAGTATAGCATTTTGACACTGTATACATTTAGAAAAGGAATAGTAGTAGGTTCCTCTTTAGGGCCTTTGACCTCCACAGCCATGGTCTTTTGACTAGGTTTACAGTACTACATAAAAATTCTTGCTATGGTGCAGACCTAAAATCTACCCAGGCAGCAAGCTTGGTACAGTCACTCCTGTCATAACAGTCATGCCAGTATTGCACCATTGAGTGCATCTTGCCTGGCAGGTTGGTATTGTAGCTAAAATGTTCACAGCAGAGTTCATACTTGATTCCTTTCCTCTCCTAAGATCTGACACTATGTAAGCCTCTAATTTAATCCTTCTTGATATTTCCTCTTGATTTCTTCATTTCTGTAATTAAACGTGTATGGTATCTTGGTGTTGTATCATCTAGTTCTGTTGAGCGACCAACGAGTAGTAGCAATAGCTTGTATTGTATTGCGGGCCTCTGATTAGCAATGGGATTTTCTTTTAAAAATCTTCTTAAAACTTCTGGGAGCAGCAATAAGATAAAGAGTATATTTTATTGTATTTCATTTTGAAAATAGAGAAGATTAACGCAGTTATTTGTGTCTCATGGTGTAGGCATAATCTTGATTTTTATTTTCTTCTCAGATACAGCATTACTATATTTTGTTTTTTTCCTAAGTACAAAATTTAAGTGGCCAAACTTGATTCCATCATGAAAACTGCAATTTATTCCTCTATTTGACATACATTTTAGGTCTCTTAAAATCTAGCATGTACATTATAATTTTGTGCCTGTAAAGCTAATTAGCATTTTGTAGAAATTACGTTATTTTAAAATTGGGACAGAAGCACAATCTTTATTCTTATACTTTCTACCTAAAAATGCCATAGTTTTATAGTATTTTAAAATTACTCCTCACTGACAATGTTGCACATGCTTATAATCTTAGCACTTAACTGAAGCAGGACGACTGAGTTTGAGGCCAGTCTGTTGTAGAGAACTAGAGTCCAGCTGGGCAGTAAGACTGTCTTAGGTGTGTTGGTGCCCATCTGTAAATATTTCTGCTGGTAATCTTGATTTAAATTTTAATTATGTGGAACAGACACATCTCTTGTTTCATTTACTTAAAACTGCTAAAATTCTTTGAGATAACTATTTTCTTTTCTCTTAAGAGAACATTTCACTACTGATTGTGGTTTTCTGTTTTGCAGAATAACAGCTATCCACCAATGTCAGATCCATACATGCCTAGTTACTATGCTCCATCCATTGGATTTCCATATTCTCTTGGGGAAGCAGCATGGTCCACGGCTGGAGACCAGCCTATGCCGTATCTGACAACCTATGGACAAATGAGTAATGGAGAACATCATTATATACCAGATGGCGTTTTTAGTCAACCAGGGGCATTAGGAAATACCCCTCCATTTCTTGGTCAACATGGATTTAACTTTTTTCCTGGTAATGCTGATTTCTCTACATGGGGGACAAGTGGATCTCAGGGACAATCAACACAAAATTCTGCTTATAGTAGCAGTTATGGCTATCCACCTAGTTCTCTTGGGAGAGCTATTGCTGATGGACAGGCCGGATTTGGAAATGATACTTTGAGTAAGGTGCCTGGCATTAGTAGTATTGAGCAAGGCATGACTGGACTGAAAATTGGTGGTGACCTGACGGCTGCAGTGACAAAAACTGTAGGTACAGCCTTGAGCAGCAGTGGTATGACTAGCATTGCAAGCAATAATGTGCCCCCTGTTAGCAGTGCAGCACCTAAACCAACTTCTTGGGCTGCCATTGCCAGAAAGCCTGCCAAACCTCAACCGAAACTTAAACCCAAGGGCAATGTGGGAATTGGGGGTTCTGCTGTGCCACCACCTCCTATAAAACACAACATGAATATTGGAACTTGGGATGAAAAGGGGTCAGTGGTAAAGGCTCCACCAACCCAACCAGTTCTGCCTCCTCAAACTATAATCCAGCAGCCTCAGCCATTAATTCAACCACTACCATTGGTGCAAAGCCAACTGCCTCAACAGCAGCCTCAGCCACCACAACCACAACAGCAACAAGGACCTCAGCCACAGGCCCAGCCTCACCAAGCGCAGTCTCAACAGCCACAGCTGCAGAATCGCTGGGTAGCTCCTCGGAATAGAGGAACCGGCTTCAACCAGAACAATGGAGCAGGCGGTGAAAACTTTGGTTTAGGTGTTGTACCTGTTAGTGCTTCACCTTCTAGTGTAGAGGTGCATCCAGTGCTGGAAAAACTAAAGGCCATAAACAACTATAATCCCAAAGACTTTGATTGGAACCTGAAGAATGGACGTGTGTTTATAATAAAGAGCTATTCTGAGGATGATATACATCGTTCTATCAAGTACTCTATCTGGTGTAGTACTGAGCATGGTAACAAGCGTTTGGATGCAGCTTACCGTTCCCTGAATGGGAAAGGCCCACTGTATTTACTCTTCAGTGTGAATGGCAGTGGACACTTTTGTGGAGTGGCTGAAATGAAGTCTGTTGTGGACTATAATGCATATGCTGGTGTCTGGTCTCAGGATAAGTGGAAGGGCAAATTTGAAGTTAAATGGATCTTTGTCAAAGATGTTCCCAATAACCAGTTACGACATATTCGCTTAGAAAATAATGACAACAAACCAGTAACCAACTCAAGGGACACTCAAGAAGTACCCCTAGAAAAAGCAAAGCAAGTGCTTAAAATAATTGCTACTTTCAAGCATACCACCTCAATCTTTGATGACTTTGCACATTATGAAAAGCGTCAAGAGGAGGAGGAAGCCATGCGAAGGGTAAGAATCCAATAATTTTTGTATGAGGATTCATCCTTATGGGTGGACTTCACAGGATGCATCCTTAATATTATAGTTTAAATTACTTAACTCTGAGAGAAATCAATAACTAACCTACCTCATATCCACAGCCCTTCTAGTCACTGCTCTTAAATGTTAGTATTATGAGAAAATGCATTTAAAATTTGAAGCACTATTTTCAAGTAAATGTTTGCTATTGCTTTGTTTTATGAGAAAGGTGGGGTGTGTGTATATGTGTTTGTTATGTAAAACTATAGTATATAATTTGTAGGACCAAAACATGCGTAACAAAATTGAGCAAGAAGTTGAAGGAAGGAAGATTAGGAGGACATGACCTTTAGAACTAGATCTGTGTAGCATTTGAGTTTCTTACATTAATACAATTTCTCTGAGACTTGCATACATCTGTGTAAGACTGGGATGTGGTCCCAAGGTAAGGCAGGCAGACTTTTGAGTTGCTTTCTCTTCAGAACTAAACATCAACTTGGGGGCCTGATTTTAGATGGAAACAGAGTGGGGAAGAGTAGGAAATGAATGGATTTTTCCATATACAGTACACCTAGGTGTCTTGAAAACAGTCAAGAGTAAATAACAGTATCCATTGTGGAAGTCTTTGTGGGAAACTGTGTTAAGGCACACACTTCTGTCTTCATTATAACATGGTAGTGATTCATTTCTTTCTATGAACTCAAATATCTTTTGACTTCTTATATACATGCAGCAGAGGAAACTGCCTCAGCTAACATTGAGCACTCAGTGGTGAATTTTGTTGAGATAAAGATCTAGTAGTAATTTTCAAATTTAAGGCCCAGAAGTACTTATTGGAGTGTTTGTAAAACACACATTTATGTATTTGGTAAGGAGTTTAGTTACATTTCTGACAAGCACCCTGGTTGATTCTGGTGCCAGTCTTTGCTGTGCTGACCTGGTAGAAACTTGGCTTTGGAGTGATTCAGACTGCTGTTTGCACCTTTGTAGAGCTATTTATTTATTTATTTTTGGTTTTTCGAGACAGGGTTTCTCTGTGGCTTTGGAGGCTGTCCTGGAACTAGCTCTTGTAGACCAGGCTGGTCTCGAACTCACTGAGACCCCCCTGCCTCTGCCTCCCGAGTGCTGGGATTAAAGGCGTGCATCACCACCACCTGGCTTGTAGAGCTATGTAAATGAATTGCTAAACAGAGTTTTCTCCTAGTTAAATGTGGGAAGTGAGGAGCATAGGAGGATCAGAAGTTGTCAGGGAGTCTTTTTAGCTTAGCAGTTAAATAATAGCCAGATTATAATGGTTATTATAAGACACTGGATCAGTAGAACAATTTGGAATGTGGACGGTGTGATGTCATGAAGATGTCCTTTTTGGGGTATGCTTCTTTTAAAATGTTTTGAGAAATACAGATAGGGTCTGCCTTGATTTAGACCTTTCAGGGAGATGGGAATCAGATTTGGGGCTTTTTGTTCTTTCATAGCAAAATAATAGAGTGTTATTAAAAACATAAAACATAATTATCAGAATAATCAGATTAAGGAGATTAATGGGAATATACTCCCATGTTAGATCTTGACTGTCCTGGAAATTGTTCTGTATACTAGGCTGACCTCCAACTCACAGAGATCCACCTCCCTCTGCCTCTGCCTCCTGAGTGCTGGGATTAAGGGCGTGTGCACCACTGTCCAGCTGCCTCCATAGTTTTTTTTTTTATAGAAAGACTGAAAGAGGCATTTCAACAAAATGGAAAAAAAAAACATTGAAGAAATGCTGATAATTCTGGTAGCTATTGGTTATACTGGAAGAAATACCCTTCTAAGGAAACCCTGAAGACATTTTCAATTAAACAGGTTTGTTACTCAAGATCAGAAAGAGTTTTAAAGTCTAACGAGCAAAATGGGCTTATGATTGGGAACTACTGTCTTTGGCAGAGGGAAGAAATATGGGCAGAAGAAGAAAAAGCTAGATAATCTTTGTTGACACAGGTGTATAAGCTGATGTAGAGTAGGAGAGTTTGCTCTCTGTTCATTTCTTAATATCAGGTAAAAGGACTGTCACAAAGGTTTTAAGAAGACAGTGCCAAGTGAGTAAATGCTCAAAATCAGAGGTTCTCAACCTTCCATAATGCCATAATGCTTCGACCTTTTACCACAGTTTCTCATGGTGACACCCAACCATAAATTTATTTTCCTTCTTCATAACTGTAATTTTGCTACTGTTATGAATTATATAGTGTAAATATTTTTTTTCTGATGGTCATAGACCATTTCTGTGGGTCTTTCACACCTAAAAGGGTCATGACTCACAGGTTGAGAACCACTGCTCTAAAAGACTAAAGTTTGGGATTTTTTCTTTCTTATTTGTCTGATCTCTACTGGCTGTTCTGTGTATAAAGTTATAAAAGTTTGGTTCTAGCTGTAACATTAGGAGATGGAGTAGGGGACACATGCATGGTTTTTATCTATCTGAAGTTTGTTAACAATTTATTCAAATATTACAATAATTTAAGAGCTAGTGCCGTAGGTATATTATTTAAACTTCTGAGATATAAAACACTGATTTTGATAAACTTAACAAGGAAATGCAGTGTGGAACTGATGAATCAAGAACTTTAGTATTGACAGAGTAGCAGAACTTAAAATGGAAATGTGAGAGGAAAATGGGAGGTTTTGCCTCTTGAAATCTAGGCAAATGCTTACTCAAGCCCATTATCTTTATTATCTTAACTTGCTTCCAGACGAATTATTTATATGCACTGCCCTTTGGTAAAGCTAATATAATCCTTGAATATGAGAAGAAAATAAAGAAGACCTCATTGTATTAGTCCAACGTAAATTTTAGTTACCCTCATACTAATAGATTATTTAGGTATCCTTAGAGTTTTCTTTCCTTTGAATGAATCATTTATATCCTATATCATTTTACTCATATAAGTCCTTATTTATCAACAATCTTTTTTGAGATTTTTGTTATGATAAAGCGTAGGGAACCTTGGTGGATTCCATGGCAGGTGAGGTTGACGGAGGCAGGGGACAAACATGGGTGTCAGACAGAGGTTAAGTGAGATTATTAGAAAGGGAAAGAAGTATAAGTGGGCAGAGGTCTTTCTTTTTGCACCTGGACTGATCAGGGTACTGCCTGAGTGTATTCTACCAGGTGACAGGGGCAGGCCAGCATAATGCCTGAATCCTTAGTTTTAGGTTTTGGTTTTTTTATTATAATTATTTAACTTAACCCTTACATTTTTTATGTGTGCAGATGTCTTGCCTTTGTGTATGTCTGTGTACCACATGTGTGCAGTTCCTGTGGAGGCCAAAAAAGGGATAAAATCTGGGACTGGAATTACAGATGGATTGTGAGCTATAATGTGGGTGCTTTGAATTGAACTCAGTCGTTTGGAAAAGTGGTCTGTGCTTTTAACCACTGAAGCATCTCCCCAGCTCCAAGTTTTAGTTTTAATAGTTGCCCTATTTTTGTTGCAGTGACAATATCTTTAGTTAACATTTTAGGGCATTGGTTCTCCCTTCCCCCCAGCCTTGGTATATTCCAATGCTCCTTTCTAGTTCTTCAGATTACTCATAGGCCTTAGGTGAGGTAGCTCTTCCATACTGTAATTGTGAATCCATATTATTAAACTGAAGAGAATTTCAATTAATAAGTTTATTACTTTCCTTAACTAATTGAGGACCATAGTATTGTGGGCTTTATTTGTTGTTTTAAGTCACTGGTTTGCTCCAGTTGTTTCTTGCCTAGGACTTGTAATTCTGCTTCTGCCTTCCAAGTGTGGGATTATAGGAATGCACCTTAATCCTTAGTACTTTTCATTTAATAAACATAAGGTGTATTTTCTTAAGAAATAATTTTTTTCTTTTTTTTGGGGGGGGCGGTATTTTGAGACAGGGTTTCTCTGTGTAACCCTGGTTATCGTTATCCCGGAACCCGATCTATAGACCAGGCTGGCATAGAATTCAGTATAGAATTTGGGATGCCTTTGCCTCCCAAATGCTGGGAATTAAGGTGTTCATTACCACTGCCCCACCCAGAAAATATTTCATGAAAAGGAAATTACATAGAATCATGTCATTTTTGGCAGAAAATAGTTCAAAGCTTGCTGGACAAAGGGCCTTGTTTTGTCTCTTTTTGATGATAAGCTACTTTCTGCCAGGCTGAAGAAGCAGCTTTCTTGGTAGAGGGCTTGTTCAGCATTCAGGAAACGTAATTTTTTTCTGTTAATGTTTTCATTTTTCCTTTTTTTTTGGTAGTACACATTTAGTTTATTTGATCTTGGCAAAGATGATTCATTTATAGATTAGTAGATTATTTTTTTCAAGTCTGAAATATTAAAAAGTATTCACATGGGTGTGGGTGTATTCAGAGTTACACAGTGCACAGGTTAGAGAACAGCTTTAAGTCTGTCCTTGTATCTTGGGTTAAGGGGTTGGACAGATGTCACATGTGCTGCAAGTGCTTCATACTTGTGAGCCAACTCGTGTAGACTTAGGAACTGGGACCTCTTAGTGTAGTTCTAAATCATAGTGTGGCTGTGCAGAGAAGGGAAAGATAATAGAAGCAAGTTTAAAACAAGTTTTAAAGGGCAAGCATATGCATTGCCCCAGTGACTATAATTTAGGATTTGTTGTGTATTGCAGATTTGTTCTGTTTTCTTTACATTCTTTTACCTTAATTTCTAATAAAAAAGGTGCTACCTTTGATGGGACAGATCATGCCAGAAAGTTAGCACAGTATTACTGATGAAAGGCTCTCACCCACATGCTCTGGCTTCTTAGTGGATAAGATATTTAGTTCAATGTAACTGCCCTTATCCTATACAATCTTTTATACTATATTTAGTGTTGCATATATGTGTGTATGGGATATGGGTATGTCATAATACATGTGTGTCAGTCAGAGGACAGTTTTGTGCAGTTAGTTCTCCCTTTTCTGTTTCAAAACCCTGTCTGGATACCAACGTTGCATTCTGTTGTGTCATTGTAATTACCTCCAGTCTGTTACAGCTTGTCTTTGTTTCTCCCTGCATTTTTAAA